CAGTTTCGGACGTTTCGTCCCGGATTGGGGTTCGGGCAGCGTTACCATGTTGACCGTCATGGTCAACTTGCCCTAAAACAGTTGAGATTATCTGTCCTAAATGAAATGCATACAAACTCATATACAGGTCCTAGACTACTATGGTTACTGAAGAGTTGTGTTGTTTGTTGATAATCAATTTGGTTTTTGTACGCTTGTCGCCTGCCTTCGTGTTGAAGTACATTATGTTACGTTATTTTTTCCCTGTGAAGTTGTGGTTTGGCTATGCGTGTTTAAGCCTGATCGAGCAGATTGAGGGTTTGTTTAATTTATATGAGCGAGGGTCGCTAAGCCTGATCGAGCAGTTTGAGGCCTTGTTTCATTTATATAAGTGAGAGTTCGCCATGTCTGATCAAGCAGATTGAGGGTGTATTTATTTTATATGGGCGAGGGTTTGCTACTTAGTCTGATTGAGTAGATCGAGGGTGTGTTTAATTTATATACACGAGAGTTCATTAACTCTTTAACGACACAACCCTATTACCGCAATGCTTGTAAGCAATACGCTTTGCCGATTTAATATCTTCGGTTCATTGAATGCTATGAGGACAAAAATACCACCGTTCGATTCAGTGTGACGAGATCTCCTCACTCGGAGCAATAGTTTTAGTCATTGGCAACATTATAGCGATTTATGAGCTTTAAAAGTAAAGTGAGATCGAATACGATCAAATTATGCATTTTACCAACAAATTATAAAAACATAAACATACCTTACGCCGAATATAACTTCGGCCCCTTGAAACGTATGCTCATTGCGATATTCTTGATGAATTAATCATTTAAAATGCCATGTATAACGTTATTTCCAAGCTTCTATCCTTAAAGGGTGACTTTTAGTGCCGAATTTTACATTTTTGCTCCGAATTTGCGATAATCCCAACCGGAAATACGACGAAAACTCGTCAAAACAATGCCACGCTTGTATCGCGTGACTCTACAGAAATGGACTCTACAGGTCAAAGTGCACCCATACGCGTGAGTTTGACGTCATCCCGGCTAAAGGGAGCTCCTTATTGGCCAAGTATTACGTAATACAAGCGCGTGCGAGTAAAACCCGATACTTTAAAAATTCAAAATAAATATTTCTACTCGTATTCATACGAAACTTTCTACACTAAAGCGCTTGAATACAAAGAGTATTTTGCACATATAGCCTTTCAGAAAATGACGAAAAGTTTAGAAGATATTCAACTTTTTCTCTTTTTATCGTTTGAATGTTTGGCGAAGCGGTGAATATAACTATATGATTGTTTCGGTTTGTATAATGTTCGACAGCACTTGACCCCCGGTTCGAAAGGTTATTTTGTGAGGATTACAATGGTGGGTTTTGTTTTAAAGGGGGGTAAATACTCGCCGCGATATTTACATTTGAAAAATTGAATTGTAATGTAATGCGAAACTACTTGTCGACAAGGAGTTAAGCCTGATCAAGTAGACCGAGGGTGTGTTTAATTTATATAAGCGAGAGTTCGCTTAGTCTGATCGAGTAGTTCGAGGGTATGTTTAATTTATATGGGCAAGATCTCGGTAAACCTGATCATGGGTGCGTTTAATAAATATGGGAGAGAGTTCGCTAAGCCTGATTGAGCAGATCGAGGGCATGTTTAATTTATATCGGCAGGCGTTTGCTCAGCCTGATCGTGCAGATCGAGGGCTTGTTTAATTTCTATGGGCCAGAGTTTGCTAAGCCTGATCGACGCTATGTCTGATTGGGGGGTGTTTAATTTATATGCGCGAGAGTCCCCTAAGTCTGATCGAGATAGCAGACTTGTTTAACTTATATGGGCGAGAGTTTGCTCAGTGTGATCAAGGACTTGCTACATTTATATGGGCGAGCATTTTCGTTAAGTTGGATTGAGAGCTCGAGGACTTGTTTAATTTGTCTGGGCACCATAGTTTGCCATTGGTTTGCTTGAAGAAAGCGGTGATCGTCTATAATTTATTTGGGCTAGACCTTGCCTATTTGTTCGTAGCAGGTATTTTGCATTTGGATATGCTAATCGCTGGGTATGTTTTTAATAGTAGAGTATTCCATTGTCAAGTTGCAATGGATGTTTTCATTATTGCATTCATATTGTAGATGCCTGTAAAGAAATTGATTCCAAGGCAGAAAAAATGAGGTATGTTGCTTCAGAATGAGGCTAAGAAATTGCAAAGGATCAAGCCTTCAATGCTAACAGAAGAAGATAAAAAAGCAGGGCCTTCCTAAGGACATACAAGTAAAAAAGATGGGCAGCTATGGAGTGGACCAATTTGGCTCACCAGGAAAACATTTTTCACCTTACTCCAAAGGATAACAATGCTCAAGTTACTAACATTGTAATTTCTGAGGATGCCTGCAAAGCTCTGTGCAAAGTTGTGGATGAAGACAGGGTTGATGAAGTCATGGCTGCCAGAGCAATATTGGAAGAGAGTGATGTAGACGTTACTGATATACAACTCAGTGAATATGAATTTCAGATGCTAACTTTGGAATGCTAGCCTGCGTGTACGGAATGCAAGAAGTACTTTCCTGAAGATGCATGGAAGTCTTTGAATGGAAACTTTGAAAGCTGCCATGGTAATGAGGGATATGTGTATACCGAGCCGAAGGATCCATACTGGCTTTTTTATTCTTCAGGCGACGATGTATGTTCAACTAATTTTTCCGGCTTGATGACATTGATATCTGTTGTACTGCTTGCATAACTAAGTTTGCATGTGTGATTGAGCTTGCGCACATTCAAACTTTCCGGCCAAGAATCGTTTTTGGTGAACGCACTTTGAGAACAACTTGCGTCTCCTATTCAGCAAGTTTGATTTATCCAAGTTTTTCTTGGAGGCAAAGGTTACATCTCTTTCCACCTCTGGAATATGAGGCTGCTCGTTTCAGGATAGACCAATTAATCGTGAAGTCCTGGTGCTTTTCCTTTAAGTTCCACACATGTTTCGAGAGCTCCATATTGTTTCTGTATACAACATTATTGAATGATTTATATATATATATATATATATATACGATATTTTTATAATAGAAGCTATGAGGACATAGCTTCACAATTATTTGTTTGTTCCAAAACCGTCTATCGGACAGTTAGAACTTTTGTAAACACGGGTGATGTGCAACCATGCCGTCTTGATCGCCCGACGGGAAGCATATACTATTTCCCCATGAAGAATACATTATAACGGATTGTATACTTCGCAACCCGCAAATGCAGCTCCATGAAATGGCTGATATAATATCCCCAATGTCACTGGATCAGCATTTGGACCGGAGACGCTATGCCGTGCTCTATATAGGCTTGGAATAACACGTAAGAAGGTAAGCTGTGACATTTTCGAAAAGTGAGTATGGCTGTGCCATAACACACATGTTGTTTCATCGATTCGGCCTATGAGCAATGTTTAATACGTCTTATAATAAAAAAATGTGATAATTTTGAAAACTATTTTCCTTTTCTCCAGATACACAGAGTTGCTCTTAAGCAAAACGAGAACCTCAGGCAACAATTCAAGGCCGAAATCAGCGTATTTAGCCCAAGCCAACTAGTTTTCGTCGATGAAACTGGCACTGTATGTAGGTTAACAAAAATAATTATACCTGTCGTTTTACTGTTAAGAACTGATCACACTTCCTATATTTATTTAGTTGTACTTTTGTTTAAAGGATAAACGGATAACTCGACAATATGGTTATAGCGCTCGTGGAACACGTCCCGTCGTCCGTGATTACAGCTATGCTCGGTGGGCACCTCATTATTCGGCTATATCAGCAATTTCGAGTGACGGGCTCATAGCTAAGCAACTGATGAAAAATCCAGAGGAAAGAATTGATGCGAATTCGTTTATACATGCAATTTCTTAATGAGCAGCTTTTATCGACAATGAATTCGTTCAACAGGGGAAAACCCACGATCTGTAATAGTAATTAATGCAAAATTAACTAACTTAAGGAGGCTCCCTACAGTTCCGTGCGGGATGTTCGCGGGACAAGTACGTGAACTATCCCACGCAACTGCATGATCAAAACAAAACAAAAATTGACCATGCTTTTTTTAAAAATAAAGCTATTTCTGAAAGGTTTCTAATGGAAAAAAGCGTTGAATAACACTTCATTTTGAGTGCCAAATCACTTGCGAGTCTATACAGCAATTCTACATATGATATGAATATCACTAGACCAAAAAATAGCTACGAAACAATATTTTTAAACTTTTTTATACACTGTCAACTGACTCAACTGTAAAACATTTGCAAAATTGCATACAAACGTTTAAAAAGTTGTTTACTTCTCAAGAAAACGTTCACGTTTTTAGTCGAGTTTCTAAAAGATTAAAGTGATTATATGTAAACAGAAAAATATTTCAGTTTCATAGCCTAATTGTTCATTTTTAGCAAAAAGTACAAAACCAAACATGAAACAAAAAAACACGTCCACCTGTTAATAGGCTGTTACAGCTCATAGATTGAGTAAACGGCAGGATTCAATTAGCTTCAACCTTGTTTTCATCGATTTAATCCTTCACAATAACCCTTGGCTGTCCATAGCACTCAAATAAATCGAAAAGTTGACAAAAACAAAACAGTAAAAACAACATTGTGGCTCGATTTTGCTGAATGAAAACTTGTTCTGCGCCCGCGTACAATCTTTTACTAGTCAGCGACGCTTTTCAATAAGGGGAATTTCTCGAGTTACACAAGGCTATTTTCTAACTTTATTTGCATTTTACTCATTAGTTTCATCGGTGACCTATCTTCAAATTTTGACCACGAATTTCTTTTGCGGTAAATTTTATAAATTTCAAATTTTAAAAAAATCTGTAGTGTGGAAATTTCGCAATAAATTTTTCGCTTTAAAAAAAATCACACACTACAGAATTTTTTTAAACTTTCACCACGGTTACAGAACATCATTCCTTATTGATATATGAAATAAAAAAGATAGGTCACCGACATCGTTTTTCAGATAGCGGCACATTTATGGGTTAAATTGGAAGGCTTTATGACTTAGACCAATATTGCCACCAAGTCGAAAAGAATTTGCGTTCTGCACGAATAAGCCTGTTTTACGGAATTATTGCTTAAACAAGAATAACTGTAGGGAGCCACCTTAAAGGACATTGGCAACCAAAATTTTTATTACTTATATCTATTAGGTATACTTACGGAATATTTAATTTCATATTTTGGCCGGTTTGTCGCATTTAGTTGCTGAGAAAATTTGATTGAATTTGAGAAAATTTGAACAGTTGTCCGCCATTTTGAAAATAAGCGCTTATGCTAATTATGCCACAAAATACATTATCTGACGTCATTGGCTGGGTAACTCACAATCTCATGACTATAAACAATACCGTGTATTACCACGCGTAGTGCATTTTGAGCCAAAACAAAAGGCAGAAAAGTTTTACCAAGTATGTAACTTGTTTGTAACACTATTTCTCATAGTATATATCCTACTCCGTGTTAAATAAGCGCAGAAGTGTAACAAGGCAAATACTAATGCAATATTTTATGACCAATTACCTGCATTGTAAATTGCGCCATTTCTTGCTTTCCCAGTCGCTAGATGTGTTTTTATCTGATAGTGTAGACTTCTCTTGTTTGATTGCGAAGAGTGTTGGCCAGTATAACGCTCAAAACGACATATTTTTAGCTAACATAACACGCACGCAATAGAATTCTCTCTTGTAGTTTTGGTGCTACCCAGCCAATGACGTCACAAAGTTCATTGACCTTCGAGATAATTTTTCAAAAGTATTTTCCAAGATGGCGGCGAAACTGGCCGAAACACAAAGTTTGCATGCATTTTACTCGTAGACTAAAACGTTCAAGAAGGAAATGATAATATTTTCATAGTTCGGTTGTCACGTAGGATTGAAATAGCCAATAAAAATTTTCGTTGCCAATGTCCTTTAATGTGTATATAAATGAAACCAATACTTGTTATTGTTATAAGCACAAGTTTTTAAGCCCCTGGGAATTTTCAACCTATTGTATGTCAAGTCTTTCGTAATTAATCATACAGTATCTCATTAGTTCGATTATAATTCTGTTTTACCATAGACAATCCAGAAGACATACATACAAGCAAAAAAACTAGTACTGCATGTTAGAAGATTTATAATTGTATATATATAGCTATATCATGTTAATAACCGTTGTGTTGGGGATTGCCTCCCTTGTTTCGCCCAACAACTCACAAATTCACAAATCACGTTTAAATTTTAAAAACTTTAATAAAGGTCACAATGACATTAGATACGTTACACTTCACTGTATCACAATCGATGTTAACTCTCCAGTAGACTGAAGTTCTAATGTGTCTAACTAACATACAGAGGCTATATTTATAGTAAAATAATAGGAACTTATTGTGGTTATATGACGAAGTCTATGCGGTTATGTGACGAAGTCTCCTTGCGGGAAATATGCAAATTCATCGCGATTTGATCCTATAGTTTCGACTGCGCCCTGACAATGCGGTTGCATAGTCACGTCTGTTTATCTTGCGTTGGATACGAAACTTCTAGTCTATTACTCGGCACTTTCGTTTCCCTTTTGCACGTATAGTGTGTTCATAACTATATATTTAAACTATATGAATTATCTATATTCTAAGATTAAATGTACTTTGGTGTATATTCTATATATGATAATTGAAAGTCTCAGACAGTTGTGACAAATTAAAAACATAAATTTAAATTCTCGTGGAGACTCTTATAAAAGTAATATTTGCTGGGACTTGCAACGTATAGAACGTTGGAGACAAAGGATTGCTTTACAACCTTGCACTCAATTGTATTCATTACAAACCTCTAATGATCGAATTAAGTAGACCTCATAATGTGTTCTACAGTAGAATAACTCATAAGAGAGTATAGGAGAGTAGAATTTGCGCAACACTTAAAGTGCAAAATGTAGTTTTGCACTTTAAAAAAGCTTATAAAACCAAATAAATTAAGTTTTTAAAACCTAAATGTAGCCATGAGCGAAATGCCTGTATCCCGAACAGTCATTCGACGTATTTGTCCGTATGCATTCCAGATTAGGGGGCTAGGATCTTGCAATAAGTGTAGTACAAAGTGATTCTGACGCAAATAGTGTTTAACATTCGCAAATACTTCTATCTAATTGCTCCATATAGTCATAAACACGTTCTATGACTTCTTGGACATGAACATGATGAACAGCTTGATTGTCTGTTGAAAGAAAGCACATGCATGCATGCTATTAATTTCTTTAAAGTTTGTCTTTAAGAAGAACTTTTTAAATCAAGCTATCGTTAGAATTTCAATGCCTAAGTAATACGCAAAACTCACGGGTTTGTGTGTAAAACAGAATTATAATCGAACTAATGAGATGACTAATTACGAAAGACTTGACATACAATACATTGAAAATTCTCAGGGGCTTAAAAACTTGTCGTTATAACAATAACAAGTATTGGTTCCATTTATATACACATTAAGTTAGTTAATTTTGCATTAATTACTCTTATCCATTATACGATACAGATCGCGGGTTTTCCCCGTTGAACGAATTCATTGCCGGTAAAAGCTGCTCATTAAGAAATTGTATAAACGAATTCGCGTCAAATCTTTCCTCTGGATTTTTCATCAGTTGGTTAGCTATAAGCCTGTCACTCGAAATTGCTGATATAGCCGAATAATGAGGTGCCCACCGGCCGAGCATAGCTGTAATCACGGACGTGTTCCATGAGCGCTATAACCATATTGTCGAGTTATCTGCGTTTATCCTTTAAACAAAAGTACAACTAAATAAATATAGGAAGTGTGATCAGTTCTTAACCGTAAAATGACAGGTATAATTATTTTTGTTAACCTACATACAATGCCAGTTTCATCGACAAAACTAGTTGGCTTGGGCTAAATACGCTGATTTCGGCCTTGAATTGTTGCCTGAGGTTCTCGTTTTGCTGAAGAGCAACTCTGTGTATCTGGAGAAAAGGAAAATAGTTTTCAAAATTATCACATTTTTTATTATAAGACGTATTAAACATTGCTCATAGGCCGGCACGGTGAACACAATATGCGTGTTATGGCACAGCCATACTAACTTATTGAAAATGTCACAGCTTACCTTCTTACGCGTTATTCCAAACCTATATAGAGCACGGCATAGCGTCTCCGGCCCACATGGCTGATCCAGTGACATTAGCGATATTATCAGCATGCATTTGCGGGTTGCGAAGTATACAATCCATTATAATGTATTCTTTATGGGGAAATAGTGTTATGATTCCCGTCGGGCGACCAAGACGGCATGGCTTCACATCACCCGTGTTTACAAAAGTTCTAACTGTCCGATATAGACCGTTTTCGAACGAACAAATAATTGTCCTCATAGCTTCTATTATAAAAATATCGTTGATATATCATCCTCCAGCGTAAATCATTCGATAAGGCCTTGGCATTGTGGAAAATTTCACCACGCTAATCGAACACGCAATTACCATGCACGCCCCACAAATACCCACGAATAAATACATGTCACGTGATCGATATTTAGGTATTTAGACAACCTTTTTGGCAATGACTGTATATATATATATATAGAGAGAGAGAGAGAGAGAGAGAGAGACTTTTGTATATCTGCCACTAGTTCCATTCTATTGATGTACATGCTCCTAGGTATTTCTTGGATTAAATCTGGAGAGCTACATGGACATGTCTGTTTGTCAACTATAAAGAAAACATGGTAGCAAGTTAATTATATATTATAAAAACGCCAAACATATGTTAGTCTTCTATTCTTGGGTTTCATATGATGTCACAGAAGTGACGGGGGGTCAATTCTAAAATAAAACACAGTTATCAGAGTGAGCTGAATCTGTTTGTTTTGTGTATTAGCCTTGTGTTTGGTGGCAATTTTGTATCACTCCAAGTACAGCATAAGCATCAATACATTTGGAGGTTGACCCCCATCAGATTCACTGCATTATGCCTTAGTGAAACCCAAGAATACCAAATTAATTCAATTAATTTAATTTATTAGCTTTGCCTTGTAAATAACTATAATATAATATTATCATTAATGGCAGGGAGTCTGTAACAGCGCTTAGCCAATTACTACGGCCCCATAAAACTAACATTAAAACTAATATTACAAATTTAACAAATACAATAATCAACTAATAACAAACAACATATGAAAATAACAACAATACGTCTTTTACATGCAGCACAAGATTGAAATACTAAGACTACGAACAGACTTACACTTTGGACAAATGGTTTTGTATGAATGAGGATCATTGACATTGTAACAAGTTCTTAATGAGAACCATGTCAAGGTACTTGTCCCAATAACAGATTGGTAGGAGCGATAGAGCCTTGTGGTATAGTCCATCATACTGGAAAATGATAACTCGAGAATGAATTTAGTTGCTCTTCTCTGTGTGCACTAGACTTGTTTCAACAGTTCAACAGACTGTGGAGCCCATGCTTGTGTTGCATACCCTAGGTGTGGTCTTACAAGGGCCAGATACAGCGTGCGCCAGACTGCGGTGTTGTGGATATACAGAGATGATCTTTGGATGTATCCAAGTAACTTGTTTGCTTTGGTCAATTGTTCGTTGACTTGTCTGTTCTCCACCCACACACCGAGATCTCGTTCACTGTCAGTTTGTTGTATGTTTAGGGTGCTAAGTTTGTAGTTGTTCATGATTGGCATTGTTTTTCTTGTGATTCATTGTGATTTACACTTTTTTGTTGAAAGGGAGGCCAGCCGCTAATGACCATGTTTGCAGGATGTCGAGATCACTTTGGAGGCATTTACAGTTTTGACGGTGGTGAATAGTTTGGTATTGTCGGTGAACATTGCAACTTGGCTGGATGTGACCATGTTACGAAGGTCGTTGACGTACAAGACAAAGAGGAGAGGGTCAAGAATTGAGCCTTGAGGTACGCCTGAAGTTACTGGGAAGGTATTAGATGTTGCACCAAGGACAGTCACATGTTGGATACGATTCGTTGGGTGGGAGTGAAACCATTGGAGAAGTTTACCCCCAAATCCTGCTATGTGCAATTTGTGTGTGAGGCACTTGTGGTTAACTTTGTCAAAAGCCTTATATATCAAGGATATATCAAGGTAGATAGCGTCAATCTGCCCTCCAGCATCCAATTCCAAGCCAATGAATTCAAGAACATCAATAACATTAGTTATGCATGATTTGCCTGAAATAAATCCATGCTGTGATTTCTGTATTAGTTGGAATAGGTGGACTTTAATGTTGCAGAAAACGCAGCGTTCCAAGACTTTTGAGACTATTGGTTACTGCGAGATTGGTCTGTAGTTTTCTGTACATTCTCTTTCGCCTTTCTTATGTACAGGAACGATGTTTGCTAGTTTCCACTCTTCCGGTAGGACACTCTCATCTAAGGATTTGTTGAAAAACATGCACAGAATGGCGTCGTTGTACACACACTTGTCCGATATGTATACAGATGAAAAGTAGTTGCTCAACATGTTCGC